CAGACACCTACTCAGGTAGGGACGCCTGAGATCTCAAGCCAGAAGGAGGAATGCCTCCTATCTTTGGTGCTTCAGCAAAAAGCTGGGACATTCATAGACAACCTTGTTAACTAACTCTGAGTTCTCAAAGCAATCTTTGGAGTCCGGTTGAAACTGAAACACTCATTTATTATCTGCGTTTTTGTTTCCAGGCAGGTGGAAGGAAAAGGCAGAATCAAAAGGGCTGCAAAAAGTGGCTTTCAAAGAAAGAATTCGCAGAGGTTCTTGTAAAAAAAAAAAAAAAAAAAAGCTAATTGAAAGAAAAGTTCATTGCTCTCTCTCCCAAGCCTACCTCTCGTTGCCTGGCCTGTCCTTGTGGTTGTTAAATGCTCAACCTGTGCCCGAGAGGTTCGGCAATTGCCAGAGAGAGTGAGAAAGGTTTTTGCTTACTAAAGAGAGTGCGGTCGCAAGAGAGGGTGACCTTGGAAAGATACCCTTTTTCCCTAAAATACAATACACCATACGCCCTCTGAAAAGCACTCAGGGTCGTCGGCCCTTACCTGGGCTGTTACACACCTTCCACCCACACTGGTATGTTGACCACAACGGCTGATAGGCTTGGCTGATAGCCTTTGCATCCCTGTTTGGGTGCCAGATGTGGCAGACCCTGGCCAGCAGAGTCCACCTGTTGTGGCTGACGATGAGAATGAATGCACAGGCAACGACCATCCTGTGGAGGAAAAGGGAACAGGCACGACTACTCTCTCAAGGGGAGAGTGCCTATGGTGCCTCGGCCACTCCCTCGAGGGGAGCGCACCAACCCTTGCCTAGACAGGCTTTTCCTCAGGTCTTACATCAGAGAAATATTTATTATCTATTACATAGAATATTATTGTCTACATTTTAGGTACAATCAAGGAAATGAAAATAACATGCAGAGGGGAATGGCAATGGGCTTATTAGCTCTGTCTTTGGGAAAGTTTATACAGGCTTTGGATATTACCTTGAGGATAGATAATACACACTTGTTGTTTTAGACCAGGGTGATGGAGTTTTAGCAAGAGCAAGCCATAATAATCTGTATACATTTTCTTGGCCTGATTCACACAGGAAAACTCAGTGGCTCCTGCCCACCACCTCGCTTCTGTAGATTTTCCATACAGAGCTGAGTCACATTTGCCAGACTTAAACAAACTGGTCCCTTATAAAAGATAAAGAAAAAATCTTAAAAGCAGCAAGAGAAAAGGAGACAGTTAGACCTACAAAGGAGTTCCCATAAGGCTATCGGGTGATTTCTCAAAAGAAACCTTTTAAAGAAAGCAAGGCAGGAAGGGGCTGGAAACAAATATTCCAAGTCATGAAAGGCAAGAACCTACATCCAAGATTGCTCTAGGCAGCAAAGCTTTCATTTAGAATGGAAGGGCAGATAAAGTGCTTCCCAAATAAGGTCATGTTAAAGGAGTTCATCATCATCAAGCCTTTATTATATGAAATGTTAAAGAGACTTATGTAAGAAAAAGAAGATGACCCTGGCTGGCATAGCTCAGTGGATTGAACATGGGCTGTGAACCAAAGGGTTGCCGGTTCGATTCCCAGTCAGGGTACATGCCTGGGTTGCTGACCAGGTTCCCAGTGGGGGCCACATGAGAAGCAACCACACAGTGATGTTTCTCTGACTCTCTTTCTCCCTCCAAAATAAATAAATAAAATCTTTCTTGAAAAAGATGATCAAAAATACAAACAGTAAAATGACAACAAACTCACAACTATCAACAACGGAACCTAAAAAAGCAAACAAACTAAAAAAACTAGAACAGGAACAGACTCACAGAAATGAAGATCATATGGAGGGTTATCAGCACATTGGGGGAGGGGGGAGAATAGGCGAAAAGGTACAGGGAGTAAGAAGCATAAATGGTAGGTACAAAATAGACAGGGGGGACATTAAGAATAGTATGGGAAATGGAGAAGCCAAAGAACTTATATGTTCAACCCATAGACATGAACTACGGGGCGGGCGGGGGGGGGGGGGATGTAGGTGGGAGGAGGTGTGCAGGGAGGAGGGGAATAAAGGAGGGGAAAGAATGGGACAGCTGTAATAGCATAATCAATAAAATACACTTTAAAAAATCTGCAGTTCTCCCATTAAAAACCCTAAAAAAAGATTAAAAATAAATACGGAAATAATTTCAAAAATTAAATTTCAAAAAAGTAGGAGGAGCTGCCTGTCAGCAGGCAGTGGGAAGTCGCGTGGCTGAGAGGGTGGGCGAAGGCCAGGGGAGGGCTCAGTCGCTTCCCTGGATGGGGGTGTGAGGGGAAGCAGAGGCCTGAGCGCAGGAGCGGGAAACGCTGCGCTTGACTCCTCCCACAGCCACATCAATTACAGTGTGTTCGTCATCTTGGAGAATCACCGGCTGAACAGAACTCCCATAAGGAAGGAGCGATGCAAAACAGACTGGTCCCACACCCACGCGTGGCGGTTAAGCCTCAGGGAGGAGATCTTGGTGGCAGAGGTTGTCCCCGAAAAGCGAAGGTTGCCAAAGGCGTGAAGGGCAAAATCTCCCATTTCGCACTTGACCCTGGTCATGCCCGACCCCAGTGTGGGGTTGCCTTGATCCCCCACCCTCATTCCCTTGCTTCCTCCCGCCCCCAAACCTTCACTCGGAGAGGTGAGGTCACATCTCTGAGGTTCCCCAGACAGCAAGGAGGGAAAGAATTTGAGGAGAGAGGATATATTTTTTCCCCCTCATTCTTAATTTTTTTGAACAGCGGCGTGTCACCAAGCCAAAGATGATGGCTCACTTGGCTATATTAAGTCTGAATGACCAGAAGCGATCCCATAGAGTAGCCCTGGGACCCCCACTCCGCCCAAACACCTCCCACGGCTCCCCGTGATGGATACGGGGGAATCCGGGAAGATGCAGTTCACAAGTTTGGACACGTGGTGACGCTGTTGGAAAAAAATTCACGGTGTCGCGGGATGCGCCGAGGCTCCAGCTGTTGTCTCTTAGCTTGAAGGGGAGAATTAAGTGAAAATAAGATCTTGGCACTTTCTCCTCCGTGGATAAGATTAAAATTTAAAACGTTGATATTTCTAGGTTGATATTTCTAGGACTCTCCTCCCTCCCCTTTAAAAAAAAGATTATATTTATTTATTTTTAGAGAAGGAAAGGGAGAGAAACATTGATCAGTTACCCCCTGTAACTGATCGGGGACCGCACCCACAACCCAGGTATGTGCCCAGACCGACCAGCGATTCTTTGCGTTGCAGAATGATGCCCAACTAAGCGAGTTGTACTGGTCTGGGCTCCTCCCCTTTTTGAATGCAGGATTTTATACAAATAGGACTGCGGGCCGGTTCCCCACTTGGGGGTGTGCAAGAAGCAGCTGATGGATGTGTATCTTACACATCGATGTTTCTCTCCCTCTCTTTCTCCCTCCATCCCCTCTCTCTAAAAATAAATAAGTAAATTCAAAAAATTGTTTATGTGTTTTAGTTGATTTGAATGGACTTTTTCAGGATAGGTAGAAACCCGTAAGATAAAGTCCTCAGAGAAAGGACTTCTGAAAGGTCTATTTCTAATGTTGAAATACCTTCACTTACTCATAATAGCCTCCAGGACCTACCCTTTATTACATGGATCACACCTGCATGGCCACGTCATCCAGCACCAGCTGGGAATTCTAAAAAGATGAACCAGCTGAGGTCTGCGGTCTGTTTGAACAGGAGCAGGACGGAAGTGGCCAGACGCCCAGCTCCCCGCGGCCTTGCCACGCAAAACATGAACAAGCGGGCTTGTGAGGCTTCAAGTCCCGAATGTCAATACGGAAGCCGGGGGTGCATTCGATGACTCTGACGCAGTGATGGGGGTGCCCAAGCATCCCGCCCTCAGCATGACTGACCCTGGCAGTTGACCTCAAACTGTGTGACATGATGTGACAGCCGATAACTCAGATCCTCCTTCAGCTTCGTCAGTGGACATCCCTTGGTCTTGCTAGAGGGGGCTGGGGGGCTAATCCAACCCACCCCATGCCTCATTCAGCCAGCAAGGCCTAAAGCCTCTTCCAGGATCCGAGTCCCCTTGACTTTGGGGTCAGCCAGGTGATTTGCTTACACAGCAAGTGGGTGGCCCCCAGAGGCCTCGGCAGACGGGTGCTCAGAGGCCCAGGGACCTGTGGGGCGTGTCCTGTCTCTACCCTGGCGATTCCCCCCACGCCCTTTCTCCCACGTTCTGTCGGTGGAACCAGGAGCCCAGCTGGAGGCAGAAGGACACCCCCAACCCCGTTGTCCCCGGGAACAGTCTCGTTATGAGACAAATTAACTCCTCTTCCCCACCAAGACCTGACTGCCAAGAACTCAGAAGGGGCCGTCTGGCCTGGTCGGGTGGCTCAGTTGGTTGGAGTTATCATCCCATAAACGGAAGGGTCATGGGATGGATTCCTACCTAGTCGGGTACATACCCAGGTTGTAGGTTCAATCCCCATCAGGGCTCGTAGGAGGGGCAACCAATGAGTCTCTCTCACATCGATGTTTTTTCCTCCCTCCCGCTCTAAAAACTTTTTTTTTAAATGAGCCCATTAAAGTGGGTTATTCCAAACCGACTAGTGTCTCGTAAGAGGGCATTTGGACACACACAGGGCACCAGGACCCATATGCGGAGATCACATGAGGACACGGTGAGGCGGTGACTGCCTGGGTGACAGGTGGCAGCCTCGGAAGGAAGCAAACCAGATGCGAGCCCCGACCTCGGCCTCAGCCTTGCAGCCTTCAGGGTGCTGAGAGAAGAAATGTTGGTAGGGTGAGCCACCTGGTCTGCCTTGCGTTGTCATGGCAACCCTTGCAAACCAGCACTGGTCTGGGAGTCGGAGTCTCTCTACAGTCCTATCACGGGGGCATGTTTCCAACCGCGAGACCTCGGAGCTGCTATGAAGTGTCTGTTCATTAGCCAGGTACCAGGACACTCAGCGCTGGGGCCGCTTTCCCGGAGCAGAGACGGAACCCTCTCGGGCACAGGCACGGCTCGTTAAACTCATCCAATATTTATTGAATTGTGAACCGTTGCAAACAGGGCTGGAACCTGAGCCTCACGCATCGAGATCCGTTTCTAGGCTCAGCCGTGAGAAGGGAGCCTGGAGCAGAAACACCAGTGGGGGAGACGGGGATGGTGAACAGGGGGGACTGGGGAGCAGGAGGGCCAGGGTGCAAAGCTAGATTCCAGGGAGACACACGCGCGTGCACACGCACACGCAGGCAAAGACCAGGGGCATCGATCTCTGCCCCGCCCAGCAGCCGCAGAACATCGGGGAAAGACCGGCGTCCACCAGACATTTCAGTCCATCCCGTCATGAAGCGTCTGCCGAGAGGGGCAGGGCCAAGGTCACGGAACTGCAGAGAGAAGAGGTGGGGGTGGAGGGTCAGCTTGACAGGAGAGGGGCCAGGCTGGGGCCTACAATAAGGGAAGTGCGACAAGAGGGAGACTCTGGACATCGCACTGCCAGGAGGTGAGGCAGGCACAAGGGAAGCAGGTGACCGTTTGAGGGGGAAAAGTCTAAGCCAGTGAGGCAAGGTGGGCCCAGACTCCGTCCTCATTCGAGCTGGCCCTGAGAAACTACGATGAGGAAAGGGGGAGCCCCTGTGTGGAAGTGGGTGGCCCCAGCGGACTTGCAGAAAGCCTAACTCACAGCCTTCCACAGCCGGCCCAGGGTCCGATTCCAGAGAAGCCATCACAACCAAAACTGGCTCCTCTGACCCTCCCCCCACCCAGACCACTCCAGGTCAGACCTCTAGTCACCCGTGGATTCCGTGGGGCTCACCTCCCCCAGAGACAGGCTAACTGGGAGCAACCTTGTAACGTCCTGCCTAGTCAGAGGCTCTAGGTCTGCCTAGGGCCACATCGGCTGTCCTGCACTAACCAGGTGACTTGACACTGGGGGCCTTGGCCCGGAGGTGGCAGCTCTTGACCTCTGGAGGGGCTAGAACTGAGGTCGGCCACGCAGGCCATCAGCTACGTCTACATGCCTGGCCCCCAGGGAACACCCAGAACACCAAGTCTCAGGGGACCTTCCCTGGCCAGCAACACTCCATGCCTGCTGTCATAAACCACCGCTGGGGGCAGAGCTAAATGTGGTCCGCAGGACTGGACACTGCCCGCTGCCCACTGCCTCTTCCCTTCACCGACTTTAATCTCTACCTCTTCCCAGTAACGAAGCGTCGTAACCAGGGGTAACAGCTTTGCCTGGCTCCATGAGTCCCCCTAGCAGATCTCCGAACCTGGGGCTGGCGCTGGAGACCCCGAACCTGTACTCGCAAACCGTGCAAACAAGCACCTCTCTCTCCCGCTCCCCTTTCTGGACTCAACTCCATTTTCACTTCTGTGGGCCGAAGTCACCCACGGGTGGACCCCTCTGGAATCCGGGTAAACCTCATGTACATTTAAGGGGACGCCTCTGAGCTACTGACCGTTGGGAAGTAGCAGGCAGCGTGTGCTTGCTTGGGATGGGCCCCGTCTGAGGCGTGAAGCGGTCAGGCCCCACACGGGGAGCGCCCCATCCCACTCTCCTTAGAGCACCGGCCCACCTGCACGCAGCTCATGCTTTGAAATCATGACTCTCCATTTGTTTTTTAAATCGGGAGTGGGGGTGGGGGGCTCTCCATCATCTCTGACCTGCACTCAAGGCACAGCATTCGCACTGTTGCACTTTTGCATGGTGCTGACTGACACCTGCAGGTCCAAGTTCACATTGAACATGACCTCACTCTGTCCTGGTAAAGCACGCTAAGACACGGAACCGACATGCTGGGGGCAGGTGCCGGGTCCGCAGTGTTCTGGGATAGGATACTCAGTTCTAGACATGGGGGGCCATGGGCGGGGGCCTGGCACTCAGGTTTGGAGGGTGGTAGAATGTGCTTCGGGTCCTCCAAGGTCAGGAGCCAGAATTCGGCTCGAACTCGGCCAGTAACTGGTGCCCAGCTCCAGGGTAGGTGGGGTTGGGGGCTCATCTGGGACACACTGGCTTGCAAGCTGGGAACCAGGCTCGGAAAGTGCTGACACACAGTTCTATGATCATGAGGACAGGGCGGGAATGGCTGCCGGCTCTGGGGTGGACGGGGTTGGAAACCAGCACTTCAGAGTTTGTCAGGAACAAGGAATCAGTTCTAGGGTCTAGGAGCTGGGCCCTCTCACCTCTGCCTTCAGGGCCCATTAGTCCTGAGCCAAGGCGGCTTTGATGGCGGCCACCAGCTTCAGAAACTTGCTTTCTGTGTCCACGTAGCCATCGCCTCTCTGGGGACAGAAGTTGGATGTGGTCAGCCGGGTCCAAGACACCAAGCCCACCCCCCCAAGCCCCCAACAGTCTAAAAATGAGGCAGGACAGACAGAAACAGACAGACAGACCTTCTTGGAGTGAACCAACTTCCCTGCTACGGTTACTTCAAAGAAGCCGGTAACCTGGGGAGTCCCCTCGCCACACTGTGGGGAGAGAGACAGAGATTTTTGCGGGGGCTGGGTGCTCTCATGGGGACACCCGCCCCCTCCTGGAAAAGGGAGAGCCAGGGCAAAGGGTCAGGCGCCCCACGCCACCAGACAGGTGGTGAGACCCGTCAGAGCCCCTCCCTCCATCCCCCAGACTCACGATGTCCAGGCACCCAGGGAACTCATCTTCCAACTTCTTCTTGAGCTGAAGATACTGTAGGGAGGGTCACGACAGGGGTCATCAGAGGCCGCCAGCTAGCCCTCCCCCCAGCTAGCCCTCCCCCATCTTCCCGGGAGGCCTGGCCAGACACTATGCTTACCTTGGGCTTGTAGCCTCAAGCGCCACTGGTTGGGGGAGAGTCCAATAGAGTGAGGCCCAGGGAGGGAGGAAGATGGTGGGGATCCAGGCAGAGGGAGTGGGGGGAGGGGCACAGGGGGGTGGGCAGGGAGTGGGAGGCAGGAGATGGAAGGAAACAGGGTTGGGACCAGGAGGAAGGGAAGAGGGGCATGGATAAAACCAAGCAGGGGACAGACGTCCTCAACAGAGAGGAAAGAGACAGAGGTTGTTGGGGAGTGGGCAGAGATGGAGGGACAGGGGTGCAGAAAGGAGGCAAATATCCACACACAGAAACCGACACCGAACAAGGGAGCCAAGGACAGAAAGAGGGGTGCAGGGGGAAGGGGGTGATGAGAAAACCACAGGGAGGAGGAGGAAGGAGGGAGGGAATGGAAGAGAACTGGGTTAGAATGAGAATGGCAGAAACAACGGCCCGGCCCGGCCCGGCCCAGCCCGCACCCCTACCTGCCCGTCCAGCCTTGGAAGGTCTGAGGGCTCCCCAAGGCCCTGCCCCACCTGAGGATGAAATCTAACACCTCCCCAGCCCCCCCTGCAGGCTATTTCAGGACCCGACTCTGGGGCACAGGCCTGCCGAGGGAGGGCCTGTCGCCCCACTAGGGCCTGGCCCAGTGGCTATTTCTAATGCCAAGACAGCGCTGAGGACGCTCTCAAAAGCCGGGGCTGCCGCGGTGGGCACTTCACAGACGCGGCAGCGGACCTGGACTATGAGCTGCAGTCAGCGACCGCCAGCGACTGTCCTGCCCGCCCCACTCCCAGCCTGTTTCCTCAGCTGCAAAACGGAGCTCAAAAGCCTCCTCCCTCAAGAGGTTTCTGGGAGGGGAACTTTGCACACCACAAATTCGCTACAAGACACAGGCCCATCTGCCAGCGCGCGCCAGCGCTGCACCACGTGCCAGAGGGCTGGTCTCCGAGAGAAAATGCCCGGCCCTCCCCGGGCCTTTCCACTGCCGGGACTCAGGCCAGAAACTGTTAAACACACAGGGCTCCATCCGCGGGGACTATTCAGATCGCTCTCCCTCTACAGATGGGGAAACTGAGTCAGAAAAGGTGCGGGGTTAGTAGTGAGGTCCATCCGTTGTATTCCTTTCCAGACCACACCGAATACTCTCGAATATTCTCAACTCTCCGGCCACACCCCACGACTGTTCTTGGTGCTGGGGGGAGGGGACAGCTAAGCGCTGACCCAGGCTCCTCTCCCATGTACCAATCGGGCCCCACCCGCGGGCCCACCCGCCCCCAAAACGGGTCCTAGAGGCGCGAGATTTCCAACGGCCGCACCCGCGTCTCAAGTCTACCTTTGTAATCTAAGGGGTCTAGAAGGTCACGACCTAGACAGGGGCCAAGGCGCTTTGGTCTACGCCCCGCTCACGCCCACCCCACCCACACGGGAGTCCCCGTTCTCGCGGGGGGGTCCCCAGAGGACCTGCCCCCGACGCCCCCCCAGTTCCCGGAGCCCAGCTCCACTAGGCCCGGGCGGGGGACTCAGACGTCGTGCTCACCAATAAACGACTCGGACCGCGAGGCCCATGGCGCGCGAGCGCAGCATCCACCCCAACGCTGGGAACAACCGACCTAAGCAGCGGACTGGCTGGATCTGTGTCCGAGGAAAGCCCCGCACCCAGCACCAGCCTCCGCGTCCCACGGCGCGAACCAACGCCGGGGGGGTGCGGACAGAATTGCCCACGGTGGGGAACGAGGCGCCCCCACGGCCCGCCCCCGCTGAGCGTCTTGCCCAAACTTCTCCCCTCCCTGAGGTGGGCCAGGAAGTGTAGGACAAAAAGAGTCCCCGGAAGATGTCCCGCGCGTCCTCTCCAGGATCCCGGATCCCCCCTCTGGGCTGAATGGTACGGCCTAGTGGGGGCGGGGTTTAGAACCCACCCCAACTGGGTGGAAGGGAAACTGCGGAGGAGGTTGGCAGTTTAACTAGGTGGTCCCAGAGGGATTGGCTGCGCGCCGCTCTCCTGCCCTGGAGAAGGCGAGAGGGCCGGGTCCGAAAGGATTCGGGGCTCGCAGGGGCCGGCCCACGCCACCGAGGTTTCCAGGGAGCGCGCCAGGGCTTCCAGCTGCCTTTTTAAGACCCGGGTGACGCCTGATCACCATAGCAACCCTTCTTTTCAGTGCCTTCCAGCTCCCGGAAACGAGGGGTTCCTGGAAGGTGCTGGGGCACAGGCGCCTCCTTCTGATCCCCTATTTCCCCGTCTGGAAGATGGGCGTGAGGACTTTCAGGGACTGTACAGCGGACCTACCTGCAGCCCTAGTTCTGGGGATACAGTGGTGGGACAGTGGGAATAAGGAGAGAGGGCAACCTGAAAACGGTGCTTCCTTGCTGGGACTCACGTGAGCCTCACGTGGGCGGAAAAACTGGACCAGTGGCTGGCCTATGGGGACAGCTCAATAAAGACCGACTCCAGGGCGCAGTCTTCCTGCCCCAGTTTCTGTAACTGCTGTAACCCTGACGTCTCGGGGCAGGTGGCAGGCAAGTTTCAAATGCCACTCCACCCCTGTTGCTGTGTGACCTTGATCCTGGTGGTCTCGGAAAGACATGATGAGTTTGTGACTTGGAGCACTTAGGGCAGGGGCCGGACGCAGTCCCTGTCCTGGACACAGTCTCCTTCAGTGGCTTTCAGGGCCCTCAGAACAAAACCCCAAACCTTAATACCATCTGCCTCTGCCTGGTCCCATGGGTCCCTTCCTGCCCCGTCTCTCAGATCCCCAGTCACTCGGAAGCACTGCTATCTCATCAGGAACCTCACCCATTGCCCTGCCTCAGGGCCTTTGCACGTGCTGTTGCACGTGCTTTGCACGTGCGGGATCACCCTGGATCCCGCTCTAGTTGGCAAGAGGCTGCACCACCTTCCCCATCATAGGTTTTTAGGCTTAAGTGCATTAGAGCCAGGAAGCGCTTCTCCCAGATGGAAATGAGGACTCAGGCTATGTCAGAATAGCCAGGGTGGGGGGGTCCATCACTCTCTCTTTGTTGCAGCCTCCCGAATCCTTCCATGATGGCCTCCCAAGTGATCCTGTCTGGCTTAGGTTGCCCCTCCTCTGAGGGGTCTTACCCGTCATCAACTATCCGACCATGCATTGGGGGCAGGGGAAGAAGCAGAAGCAGCCTTTGCTGCCAGAGACAAGCTTTGTCTCCTTAGTGGCTCACATTCCGGAGATCGCTCACTCACCCTTAGCCATGCAGGGGCGATTACAACTCCTGAAACCAGGCAGAGCGGTTCCCAACAACCCTTCAGTAATCAGCTCCAGCATACTGTAGGGAAAGTTCATCTTCAAGTGGAAAAAGATGTCTCGTTTAGGATGCATCTGTATTTGCTGCTGGGGCCAACGTGACCCAGTACGATGGCAAAACCAAGCGTCTAAATCACAGAAATTTGCATCACAGTTCCAGAGGCCTGAACCCGAGACCAAGGTGTCAGCAAGGTTTCCTCTGGAGGCTGAGGAAGAATCTCTTCCCTGCTTCTCTCTCCCCTGGTGAAGAGAGAAGTCTGGCACTTGCCGCATGTATCACCCCAACCTTTAACTCATGTTTACTTCTCCATCTGTACGAGTCATGACTTTCCTTTTTTTTCCCCAAAAAATTATTCTTGTAACAATACCATTACAAGCTGGGTCCATGTCCCCTTGGGCTGAGTCCATGTCCCCTCTGCGCTCTCTCGTGACATTCCCAGCGCATTCAGCAGGTGGCCAGACACAGGGCAGAAGCTCAAAGGGTGTTTTGTGGGCCAACTGAGAATTTGCCAGGGGCCTCAAAGGAAGAAAAACACCCCCGCTCCTGCCACCCAGGACCAAGGGCCCCCTGCTGTCCCGAAGGGGGGAAGCTGGAGGAATTGGTCAGGACTTCGGGGCTGAGTCTCTCTCTCTCTCTCTCTCTCACTCACACACACACGCACAGACCAATGCTAACATGCGGTGTGCACCCCCACCTGGCCACACAGCTGCACACCCAGGCAAACCGCACCCCAGCCAGACACACAGCACGACAGCACACGCCTCACGATGTCACCTCAAGATGACACGAAAGCACTAGTGAGAACTAGGAAACCACAAATTCCGGCGTCACCTACCAGACCCAATAAGCAGAGATGGATTGAGTCTTTACAGACACTGTATTCAGATGGCCAGAGGTCTGAGAAGACAGCGAGTCTGTACCCTCACAGACCGTCTTGCATTTCCTTTCACGTCAGCCTTTTTATAAAAAGGAAAAAGACTAGGTGAGGGGTTTGGGATTCAGGGAAGAAGTTCATCAGGTAAAAGCTGCAGTCAGCAATTTCCCTAATGTTCTTTATCCGCTGATTGTTGATCGGTGATTTCTACCTTCGTCCTGTGTCCTGGGAGATTTTGTGTATCTGTGTCCTGGGCTGCGGGACCTCTCTCCCTGGAGCACAAGGGCTCGGATACGATCCTGAGGGTTTCCAGCCCTCCTGGGGCTCCAAGGTGGGACTGCTTATGGTCTCCAGGAATGGGGTCATGGGGTGGGGTGCCGGGATCCAGCCTTGGCCACAGGTCTCAGGGTCCCCGAAGGATGTACAGCACAGGCGATGAATAAAGAGTCAGACACCCGACTGGATGCCAGAGAACAGCCAGCCACTGTGGGTCTGACCGAACTCGCAGAGTTTGACTTAAGCTTTATTTTTATAGAGATTGTTATATAACATTAATGGAACAGGTGCATGGCATGATCAGTGAAGTAGAAAAAAACAATACAAAGGTAACCAGGAAAAGTACAAGAATTTCCATACTTTCAGTTATGCTCAGCAAAGGTTATTTTGACCAGGAGAGTCACCAATCAGACAATTAGAACTAGCTGTATGTACAGAGCTTTAGATGTCTTATTATTTATTAAAGTTCTTAGAATTTGGCAGGGGGCAAAAGGATATGCTAGACTGAACAGTGGTCATAGGAAATTTATACAAGGCCTTTGTGATGTCCAACTTAGCTAGCTGTCTTCCTGTCTAAACTATTTGTGTACTGTGAGCTCCAACTCTTTGGTAATTATTTCTATGTGCTTAGTTTGTAATAGTTAATTAGCTTGTCCTGCTTCTTTTATCTGTCTAATTCTACTTCATATATATTCTTGTCCAAGGTAGAGGAGGGGCTGTTACTCCATCAACTTTTAGATATTCAGGGGCTACTTCATTAGGGGGGACTCTGTTCTCTGGCCAAGAAATGACTTTGAACAACTTCATTGGAATTCTGCGGATCACTGGGCCTGAAATGCAGGTGTCTAAAAATCCCACCACCTAACTAATCGCAAAGACAGACAAGCAAGGAGAGATGGACAGGAAATCCAGCCACGGCTGCCTCTGCTGTGCAGATGCATCTCATCCATCCCAACTGTGTCAAGGAATGGGTGCTGGTGGGGCACCTACCTTCAGTTCCTGCAACAATAGCTTTTTACCCATATTAACTACAAAGCTTATTAACTGTCACCTTAAACTAAAATTTCCCAATTCTTCTTTTTATAATGATATTGCCTCTTTAAAAATAAAAGGTTTTATTTATTTGTTTTGAGAGAGAGGAGAAGGGAGGAAGAGAGGGAGAGAAACATCAATGTGTGGTTGCCTCTTGCGCGCCCCCTACTGGGAACTGGCCTGCAACCCAGGCATGTGCCCTGACTGGGAATGGAACTGGCAACCCTTTGGTTCACAGGCGGGCACTCAATCCACTGAGCCACAGCAGCCAGGGCTCATACAATCTTTTGATGCTGTTAACTGTCTCCCCCTGCAAGAAGGTGCCCTCTGGGTCTTTCTGTTTCATCCCCTCCCTGGTGTGTGCCCAGCGTCTAAAGCTCTTGAGTGGCATAGTACAGACACTCCATAAACACTTGTCAGATCAACGCGCCTTGAAGAAAATACCCAGTGATTGCACCATTGGATCGTTTATGTCCATGGTTACCATTGTGAACGCCATTTATTTTCACACACAAAAAAAACAATCTTTAAAACATGCCATGTGTTTGAATGTGCGCAAACATTTGAAACAATTGACTTGTGTAAGAACCGTCTGGGACACAGGAAAGCAAACTGAACCAAGTCATTTGTTAGCACCAGGAGAACTCTTATCTTCCTCTCCCTGCGATAATTCTTATCTCTTTCCAGGCAAACACCAGACAGTTAGAGTTCAGGTCAGTCAGATGGGGAGGAGGTTAGAGTGCATTTCCTTCCAGACTGGCCCTGGGCTGATAAGAAGCCAAAATGCATCCTTAAAGGGACAGGCATCTTTCTTTCTTTCTTTTTTCTATTTTATTTATTTACTTTTAGAGAGAGGGGAAGGGAAGGAGAAGGAGAGAGAGAGAAACATCAGTGTGTGGTTGCCTCTCACAAGCCCAAAGTTGGGGACCTGGCCCGCAACCCAGGCCTGTGCCCTGACTGGGAATCGAACCAGCGACCTCTCAGTGCTCAGTCCACTGAGCCACAGCAGCCAGGGCAAACCAAACATGTTTTATTGACTTGTAGCCAGTAATCTTGTGACATTTTTATGTTAATGTTAAGTAATTATCTATAGATTCTTCTGGGTTTTCTACCTAAACACTCATGACATTCTTTTAAAAAGTGTAGTTTTCTTTCTTTCTTTCTAAACCAGGAGACCCTTTATGTCCTTTCCTCCC